TCACATTCGCTTAAAAGATGCAGCAGAACTTACTTTCCAACCTTTATAGTTACTTTAGAGCACTTAATAAAAGAGGAAAGGTGTATATTAGTTTTGCGCAAGGAGTTTTTATACTCTTAAAGTTAAAGATTACACGCCAGGTTAAGGAGTTAAAACGACTTATCAGAGCTTAACCCAATTACTCTCTAATTACACGAACATAGTCGCAATATTTATGCAGTAATTGATGGATAAAATTGCTGATCTCTCGGATTTCACATTCAGTAAAAGTTGCTGTCAAAATTATGTACGATATTTCTTAAAAGTAAACACAGTAAAGACTGTTGAAATTGTTGATTATTCTTATTTTGGGATGAAGTATTGCGAATTTGTATAGTAAGATTGTTTAGAGATTCCACGCGTAGTTCGAGTTTTGCGATGGTAGCTTAATTCAATAGAAGTAAGTTATACGTCACGCGATTGCAGAAGCAGGCTTGCAGCTCGATGTTCGAAGATCGCTGAGCATTCGCTTTTATAGTATGTGACATGGGGTGTTACAATTTCGTAAAAAATTATGCCTGTCATCTTAAATCCACCACTTTGAGTTACTATTAGTGGGTTATTCAGGAGCAGTGTAATTTTAAAAATAATTCACTTTGCAATTTTGTTACCAAATCCATGCAAAAATGGTTTATTGAATACAATTGAATACAATTACAAGAAAACTAAAAAAAATTTCTGATTCTTAATTTTTTTTTATGTTAGGAATCGATTCCACTGATTAGCTTCAGTTTATCTCAAATATTAATAAAATCAGATTCAATTGAAGAAAATGCATGTTGATGAGAATTCCTGTGAAGGTGATGTGTCATTCAAAAATAGTAATGGTTGACTTCTTAGATTTGCTATTTTGAATTATCATTACTAGAAGCTAAGTGACTTCTGTGATTGTAAAATCTTTTTATCTTATATTCATAAGATTAGAACTATTCAAATAATGTTTATTTTACAGGCAGACCATGTCTAATGCATTAAAGGGTTGTGCACAATTTTCTTGTGCACAAATTTTTTGACACAAAATATCGTGCACAAGCTAACAAATAACGATCACACAACGATATCAACATTTTTTCGTCTACAGTATTCAAGCCAAAATAGAGTAGGTTTGTTAACGGACAATATTTAATCTTGATACAAACTGCACAAAATGTACGTTGATTTTGGCACAAATATTAAGCTTGAAAAAATCTTCACAAAATGTTTTGTAGTCTTTATTTATAAGCTTTTGCGAGATATTTTGTGTAAAAAAATTTGTGCATAATCCTAATGTGCATTGGACATAGTCTGCCATTTTCCAGTGAACAAAAATCAAGAAATCGTACAATTGTAATTTTTTTGAATTTTTGGAATCTATTTTGATGACTTGGCCGCAATTTATTTTGAACATTGTCATAAATATGCCATTTTGAATAGTTAATATTAGATGCTACGTGATGACTGTGACTCTAAAAACTTCTTATTCTGAACTTTTGTTACCATGACTATGCAAAAAAAGTTTGTTTAACTATAAATCGCAAGAAACATAGGAGAAATCTTAGGTATTCCACTTTTCTAAAGCTAGGACATGATTTTCACGAATTGGCAACAGTTTTTCTAAAATCTTAAATAACCCTTAATAAAAAGTAAAGTTCATATCGAATCATCTTCTTGTTTGGAAAATATTTAATTTTGTAAGAAATTTGTCATTTTCAAACATAGTGCAACTGGGGTGACTTTTCAAACATAGTGTGGCTGGGATGCCTTTTCAAAAAGTCTGCTCTTGAAACATGATTGTCTTGCATTCGGAGCCGCAGCAAGTAGCAGTACGATAATTTTTTTTCTACGCTAGAAGAGATAGTGTAGAGGAAAGTGCTTATGTCATATTTCTTATGAGATGTTATTAACGTTAAAAAACCAAGTAAGTATTAATACTTGCTTGCAGCTACGTTTATGCTGACTCTGAATATCAAATATTTGTTTCAATGCCTTAACACATGTGCTGCCATACAGTGATCGAACACACACACACACACACTGTTATTGCTTTACATTCGCTGTTTTTAATGAGCAGTGCATCGATATATTAACCCTGAAAACAGTCGATGTTTTTATACTGAATTAGTTTTCTTTTTCGTAACCTTGTATGAGTTTATAAGGTTAAAAAATATATTTCGAGAAATGTATTTTTCTCCTTTTTTCACGATTCTTCTAACAGTGGTTTCCGACACTTATCATCATTTACAGAGTAAATTAATACATTATTTATTCAGCTTTGAGCCTTTGTTAGCATCAAGTTATATAACCTCTTATGGTTGTAAGGATAGTCACCAAATTAGAAGTAAACAGAGAACTAGCGCTACGGTGCGGTGGTGGATCGCGTGACCAAACAGTATATTTTTAATTTGTATTGTCTGTGAAAAGCTAACTCAAACATGATTTGCGTAATGAATAAAGTTGATTTGCTCCTGTAGTGTAAGACTGAGAGCCGTAGCAAAAGTCATAATTCTATGGTGTGTGCACCGCAGACAGATAGTGTAAAGTAATTCGAAGCATATGCTTACCATGGGCTAGAATTACTCCCATAGAACGTAAATATATGCTACTCATGTCTATGTGCATTGACTAATCGTAGTGGACTGAGATTATGCTTACATGTGGTAAATGCTATAAGTTTCTTCTGTGTGCTTGTACTGCGCGCTGGTATTATCGTTCACTACTACGTTACGTTAAAACTGCATAATGATTTCTTTGAGTTTATGCTTATGTTTCAATCAATATACTTTCTCCACTTAATTTTCCTCGGTTTCTTATCAATAATTTTCTTTTTTGGAACATGAAACCAAATTGTTTTTTTGGAACTTAAGCAAGGTGCCAAAAATATCGAGTGTGGGATTAACTGAGATAAAACAAAATTTAGCTCAAAATTATTAGGAATGTATAAATTACCATATTCTATAATAAGAAACGTGTCATAATTTTTTTATTTCAAAATAAATTTGAAAACGACCTCTTCTAGGTTTTTATTCAACATTACAAAAACTATTGCTGTAAAAAAAATTGTTTTATACAAAATTTTTTCAAACGACTGTTTTTTAAAAAAAAATGTTTGACATTAATAGAACTGAAACCATTTTTTCTGCTGAAAGCAAAAGAAAAAAGCATATAAAAGATTTGAAATTTAATGAAAATTGAGTAAGTTACAGACTTTGCGGTATAGAGGAACACTAAAAAGAAAATGAATGAGAGTAAATAGCTATTTACACGCTTACGGTACTTCAGTAAAGAATGATGCAGATCTCATGTATATTGTCTCCCAAAGCAGAGCCTAGGGTTACAAACAAGAGATCTAAACATTTTTTACTTTCGCCCAATATTATACGTGGTGTTTTTATAATCTTATACCTCACTTGAACCGGAAGTGATACGTTAATGACTCTGCAGCGCTAGTCAAATCAAACGTTAATTATGTATACATAAAATGTAAAGGAGCTTGTAATACATTTTTGTACAGATAAGCAGTTAAATTTATTACCTCATCTAGGATATAAAAATTATCAAGCCTTTGCTTGACCTGACATATTAAATTTAATGCTTTCAACATAGCCAATTCTTGCCTCTCATTTTGCAATATCCGGTACACGCTCTTATTTTGAGATAGCGGATTTATGGTTTCGATTTGATTTTTAAGAAACTGTATTAACATGGTGCGTTATTAATTAAATTCTCTTTAAATCAAAAATATTTACTTTAGTTTGACCTTTGACTTACATTGATTCATTTGTATTACTGCTTTCGTACGAAATCTTTTACTACATTAGAAGATCTTATTTTTTTAAATAATTTTGTGGATTTAACCGAAAAATACAGTTGGTAAATGTAGGAAATAAAAACATGTATTATTCGTTAGGCAAAACTTTACGGTACAGTGAACCATAACAATAAGTGTAAGTCATTTATTTATATAATACAAGTGATTTGATTCTATTCTATAAAATAAGTTTATCTGCTTTGTGCATGTTGAATTTAATGAAATATGATTTCTAATTAAAAGTATTAGTAGCCGTCGTTTTCTAAGGTAAGAGTTTACCCAGTGAGACTTGTTACTGTAGAGTCGCTCCTTGCCTGTTAAGCTAGCATTCTCTGCACAAATGGTGTATTAGGCCCACTCGCTACTGAGTAGCCTTTCGGAGATAAAAGTTCATATCGCTGATGTCTACCCCTCGCCTGTAACCCGACCATTTCTGCCGAAGCGTTGGATCCTGGCTAATTAGCATCTCCTAAGAAGCTCCATGTTTTTAGGACCACTACTTACCGGTAAAGCTGTTTCTCCCTGCCTGGCGTCTGGTATCAGATTCTCTAGTCCCTACCTGAATCCTTAACAGTATTTCGTATTCACTCAAACCTAAAGACTTGTGGTACAAAAAAAATCCTCGAGCCATGTCGTGAAAAATTCCACGAAAAAGTTCTCTCTAAAACAGTTAAGGCTGATAGGACTGTATTCGCCAGGAATCGAACCTTTTACCCCTAGAAAAGTGTTGTTTGAGAATCAAACATAGCATGCAGGGTTACATAAAGCTTGGCCTAAATTAGTTTGACTATGTTTAGCTACAGCCAGATTTAGTCTGCAGAAACGATAGTGAATTTTTAATAAATAACATTCTCACTGATACGTAGGAATTTATTCATATTTATAATTTATTACCTCTTTAAATGTAATAAGAATTGGTGTAATGAGAAATGAGGGTTGGTGAGAAAAGGCGTGTTAGGTCAAACTATTTTGCATTAAGACATAACGTAGTAAACAATCGAATCTTACCTTTTTTGGTTCGTTGCTGCGGGGTAGTTTTCGAGAAAACTTAAGAAGAGTTAGTGTAAAAAGCTGTACTGTTATAACGTGCAGAGAAATTTATGCGTATTTTTATTTATTACCATAAAATTTCAGTTGTTTCTGCACTTAATTAAATTGTACAATTACTTTTTAGTATGCACAAGAAACACAACATGAAAAAATTCTGCGTGGATTAGCTATAGGAATTGCATTTACAATGTATGGACGTCTAGAAGAAGCAGATCCATTAGTCACTTCACTCTGTGCTGACAAAGATCCAATATTAAGGAGAAGTGGAATGTATACTTTAGCTATGGCCTACTGTGGCACTGGTAATAATCAAGCCATTCGGAAACTATTGCATGTGGCTGTAAGTAAAACTCAAACATTAAATAACGTTATCTGTTAATATAAACACACACACACACACACGCACACACACACATACACACACACACCCAATACGTGTTTGTGCCTACGCGCGCGCGCGCGTTTGTGTACTAGTAGTGCTCTGATTTTCTGCGCACTTTACGCACTCAACTAATATCAGCTAAAATTTAAGCGCAACATGTGAATGTTAAAAACTTAAAATATCTATGTATTTGTCAAAATAAAGTAATAATGCCAATGCACAGGTAAATAATATTGAATTGCACATAAATTTAATGACAAATCGTGGGATAGTTATATAATTTTTAACCATAAAGCTTTATAATTATTTAAAAAAACCTAGTTTTGATAACGGCACTCAAAAAGTTATGTTCTATTTTGAAGTATTTTTTATTACGAAAATTGTATGTATTTTTATTAAGATACAAAACTAGAAATAGAATATTAATGCAAATTTTGAAACTTGCTGGCGTGGCGCGATCGTGCCACTCAATTCAATTGGGAAATAATTTGGAAGTTGTAAATGTTGTTTGAACAGAAATTCGAAAGAAAAGAAAAATAATTAATTGGAAGTAGTCGTATAAGTTGTAACATCATTGAATATTACTATATGGTATAATATTTTTATGTTTTATTATATATATATTACCGTTTGGCTAAAAATTATGGAAGTAATAATTTTGATTTAGCATTGCTTTATTCATGTGAAGTAGTTGTACTTAGATAGTAGGTATACCCATTACAGGATTTTTACGGATCCTATATTTTTTACCTCTATCTTCTTTTTTTTCCCCGTAATTACCCTTCTTTTTTCCAAATATGCAAGTCTTTCGCGCGGGCCCCTTGCAAAGCTTCCTGTAGACGACTCGGTCATCCATCCTACTGGATGCTATTCATAGGGCACAACGATTGACACAAGCACACCTCAGATATTATAACGTTTGATAAAAGACTTTTTTTTTCAAAAAAAAACATCTAACTTGCTGTACCGAATTTTTTAAAGACAATAGTGACTTTACTTGATGAGCTGGCCTCGTATTGGCTTTTCTTAAAAAAGGAAGTCTGTAGAGGTCGAGACATCACCACAAAAAAATTGTTTTAACAATTTTTTTTTTTAAAATAAATTATTTAAAAAATTTTATTCTAGTTTACGTGCATTGTTTTTATAAGATTTTTTTTTTATATTGTAATGAACAATATTAAAAAAAAAGCGAATTTAAAAACTTTGTACCAGAAATCTTATCTAATGAAAATTGTAGTTGTATGTAATAATAGCATTTAAATACTTTATAGTTGTTTTTTATCTTGTATACTTAAAAACGTATAGGTGAGAGACAGACAGGTTTTTATTATAATTATAACATGTGAAGAAGTAACTACATTAATTAATCGTTGCTGTTTTTCATTCTAAAATCTGGTATCGAGATGTTAAATCTCTTGATGGTTTTGTAGGGCTACTACTTGAGTGTTTGAATAAACATGTGTGACTGTATCATTTCTTAGAATTACACAGAAGTATTTGAAACTTATCGTATAAAAGAAATAATACTAACAAAAAAAGCTTACATTACTTGCATTGAATACTTATTATCGTTTACATGAAGCATAATCAATATACTGAAAAAATAGATAATAGGAAACAGCTTAGGACAGCAGTGGTTTTAAACATATTATGGAGAATGAGGGAAGAATATATGCAGAACAATTTTATGATGTTAAAATAACGGACACATCTGATGATTTTTTTTTTTTAATTGTGGGGTGCTAGAATGGAATCATGTGTTCTGAATATAGTGCGGTACGATAAATCTATGGTAGTTTTTCCTATCTTGTAATATGGGGAAATCCGGAGCCTGTTAAATTTCTGCGGTGTTGGCAGGGGGCTTGGTATTTTCTGGATATTATGTTATTTAAATAAAAAACAGTGATAGCAATCGAAGTAACAAATAAAATATTTTTAATGATAGCTGGATTCTTTTCTCATCAATCTGTCTCACAACTGTTAACGTCTTTGAGCTTAGCGTAAGCTCACTTCGATATTTCACTAAGGTCAGGCATCTGGGTAAGAAGTTCAGAGGCGCTTGCCCATTCGACATCCATCTGAGTTTTCTCTTTTTTGTGTTTCCACGCTTCGACAATTCCACTACCAGCCTTTGACGCTGATCACAGCCAATGCCTAGTCCATTGCTAAGTACAAATCCCACACGCTGACACTTAACCTGGGAAGTCACCGTCTGGCCACGTGAACCTTTGTTATTGCTAGCTCTGACATCGTTATCATAGGAGCCGATTTCCTGATCCATCATGGTTACTGGTAAAGAAAAAAAGAAAGCAGCTCGTGGGCTCTATCATTAAACTTCATACGCACGAGTTTATGGCAGCTATGACGGTCCACTCGATCTCTATTGTTGCCACCCTGGCGCGAGAGCCGACCAGCGTTCTGAGGCAGGAACTATTGGTAAAAGAACCCAATAACTCGCTTGGTGATCAAGGTATTACAAGAGGTGAGTAGAAACGTATTCTTGGTCAAAGACCTTCGGAAGGTCTTTTACCAAGTGGAGATCACCGATAGAGATATCCTGAAAACTGCCATAACCACCCTACTTGATCTCTTCAAGTTCACGTAGACATTAACTAGCCTACCCAACTCCGCACAGTCTTTTAAACGTGTCCCCTTCACAGTGTCCCCTAAGGACTCAGATCGTTTTTTTTTTTTTTTTTAATTAATTTTTAATCGCATTTATACAGCAGAATATTTTGAAATATTAGGAACAGTTGATAAAATATTTTATAGTGCATCGAAAGATGCTACATTGCTCTAGTTTTAAAGAAGCATGCAACGTTATGCTACCATGTTGATTGAGAAAATTTTTTGTGTGGTTCTTAATGTCTGAAGATATGTGTGCGGCAAAAATTTTACGTGATTTAAATATTTATTTTGGTAAAAAATTGATTGTTTTAGAAGAAAATTTCAGACAGATTTTTCCAGTTGTCAAAAATAATAATTAAAATATGACTTTACAAGAAAGTATTAAATCATCATATCTATGGTCATTGTTTCATATTCTAAAACTAATAATAAATATTCGTTCAATAGTTAAAACATTTTTAAATTTACTATTATATATTGGAAAAGAAAAAATTAAATTATTGCTAGTGCGAAATAAATAAAAAACAGCTGATGTTTGTTTTGATATTTTTGGTAAAGATATTTACTTTCGAATAAATAACGTTATACTTACTTCTCATAACGAATATACTTACTTTTTGAATAATTAAATTTTAAAACAAGTGAAAGGAGAAATAAAATCATATTGCAGCATGGATCATACTATTTGAAAGAGTGTTGATTAATCCGATCTTGTAATTTACATGAATTTTTTAAGTAAATTTCGAAACAATATTCGTAAATTCCTACTTCCGCATGAGCCTAATTCATAAATTGTAACAACTTATATGTTGATATTAAATTCAAATAGTTAATGGCTTCTTCAATGCCAACGGTACAAAATTACAATTTACATTACCAGTTGAATACAATATTAAAGCAAACTTAAGAAAAAATTAAAAAAAGGGTTTTTATACGAATAGTAACTCTGAATACAGGAAATTTGTCATAACTACCTTTTATTTCATACATAAAGCCAATTTTTTAAGCCATAGTATTTGTCACGGCTACAAATAAATCTTAGTGGCAAAGTTCTTATAATATTAAATTATTTTTGGAAAAACTACTCTCTTCGCATAAACTATTATACGTTGCGTTATTAGGATGCAAAAATGGAATTGGCATTAATATAAAAATTGATTTTAATTAAAATTTGGTTATAAAAGTATTAGTTGAAAAGAGAGTTTTGACATTAACTTATGACATCCCATGTCATATACTTAATATTTATTACCTCAAAACACAGAGTTTCGTTTTTTTAATTATAAAAAGCAAAAGCTCAGCCATCTGGAACCATCGAGCGGTATACCTGATTCTGCAATCATGTGACATATAAATTATTTCTTTTGAAACAAGCTACCGTCATGAAACTTGAACTACGCGTGCAACCTCAAACAATCTTATAAAACGCTCATCTTACAAAATCAATTCGCATTAGTACACCAAATAATGTGATTAGAACAATTTCAACATTCTTTACTGCGTATGTACACAAGAAACATCATACACAATTTCTATAGTAACTTGTACTTAATGTAAAATCCCAGAGATCACCACTTTTAACCATCAATTACTGTGAAATTATTGCACCACGACTGTGCTCGTGTCAGTTGAGGGTAATCAGGTTAAGCTCTGATTGGTCGTTCAGATCCCCAACTTGACGCGTCCTCCTAAAACGCTAAAGTATAAAAACTCCTCGCACATAACAATATTCGCCTTTTCTCTTTCATCAAGTGCTCCAAAGTAACTATAAAGGTTGGAGAGTGAGTTCTTTTGTGTCTTTAAAGCAGATGTAAGACTTAGTTTGGTGATTAAGCTACGTGTTAAAATCGTGCATTTCAAGCAAATGTAAAACTTAGTTCGGTGACTAAGCTGTGTGAGAAAAGCTCGAGCAAACTAGGCTACTGTAAACTCGCCTCAAAAGTGAATCAAGGAGGAACAAGAAAGAAAAGACCGTTGACTTGGGTTCCAACGTTAAAAGTAAAAGCCTAATTATTCTCATCGCCGCGAGTTCTCTCGTGTAGGATTAGGAACATCGTTGCGGTCAATCTTGTAAGATCTTGTGACCGTCTGCGTGCAAGCAGCGAATAAGCTACGATCATAGAAGTAAGTTAAGATAAGAAATCTATAAATTGTACATCATTGTAAATGCGAGTCTGAACTTTATTACTTATACTATTTGTAAAATTAATTATTTCTGGCTTTTCTAAATTTATTAAATCATCAGATAAGATATAACTTGGTTGTTAATAAAATAAATTTTTTCAATTCAAAAACATTTCAATTACTAAATTATATGAAACATTTCAAGA